ATGCTGTGTGCCCTGCCCCACCACCTGACGGCTGTGCTTGCCACTCCTGCTGCCTCCCGCTGCCACTGCCTCCGTGGCCACGCGTCACCTCACCCCGTCCCGCCCCACATGGGCTGCCAGTGCTTTCCCTCCAGCAGCTGCAGCCACCTTGCTTTCCACTTCCCTTCCCTCTTCCTCCCTCCCTCCATGTATGCAAATTAACCACCATCTTTGTTGGGTTAATTTGCATACTCAGTCTGATTGGCTGGTGGGCATGCCTGGTGGGCATGGCTTGTGGGTGTAGTGGAGTGATGGTTAATTTGCATATTACTCTATTATTAGGTAGGATATCTATACTAATAAAAGGGTAATATGCTAATTAGACCAGACAGACTGGACATCCTTCCTGACAAAGTCAGGGCCTGGCCCAGGGGAAGCCGTGTATGGTCCCAGGTTCCTGTGGCTGGCTGGAGGGAGGGAAGCCTGGGTCCCAGGTGCCTGCAACCGGCCCAGGGGAAGCTTGCCGACTGGAGGGAAGCCTGGGTCCTGGGTTGCAGGGACTGAGGGTGAGGTGTTTAGGGGCGATCAGGCAGGCAGGTGAGCAGTTTGGGCAACTAGGCAGTCAGGCGAGTGGTTAGGGCCAATTAGGTAGGCAGGCATAGGTAATTAGGGGCGATCAGGCAGACAGGCAAAGGGTTTAGGGGTGACAAGGCAGGCAGGCAGGCAAGTGGTTAGGAGCCAGCAGTCCCGAGTTGTGAGAGGGTACAGGCCAAGCTGAGGGACCTGCCCCCACATGCATAGATTTTATGCACCGGGCCTCTAGTATATTTAATAATTCTTTATTGTTGAAAATATTACATATATCCCTATTTTCCCTCCATTGAACCCCTTGAGCCTGTCCCTGCCTCCCACCCCAGGCACTTACTGCCCCATTGTCCGTGTCCATGGGCCACACACATATATAAACAAGGTCCTTGGTTGATTACCTCCCACCCACGCACTCCTCCCCCACACCCTCCACGGCTCAGGCCTTCTCTGAGATTCTGCACTCTATTCCATGCTTCCATGTCTCTGGATCCATGCTGTTTATCAGTTTATTTTCTTACTTAGATTCTACACATGAGTGATATCATATGATACTTATCTCTTTCTGACTGACTTATTTCACTTAGCATGATACTCTACAGGTCCCTCAATGCTGTCTCAAAGGGTAAGAGATTCTTCTTTTTTCCTGTTGCATAGTATTCCGTGGTATAAATGTTCCACAGCTTTTTTGTCCACTCATCTACTGATGGGCACTTGAGCTGTTTTCAGATCTTAGCTATTGTAAGTTGTCCATTAGCCATGTTCTTAACCACATCAAGAACATGGGTTGGTAAAAGTAATGGAGCTGATAGAGCACCGTGAGGGCAGAACCACATCAGTGTCACTCTCTGGGAGGCCTGCAGTGCCTCACACGAGGGGCCTGTTCTCAGGGAATATTTCAAGTGCTGAAGGAAGTTGATGGGGTCATTTGCGGAAACAAAACGTGGAAAGGACAGTAAAGGGGGCCCAGGAATGAGCACAAAGCTCTAACTTCGGGACTTGGGCTCACAAACCAGCTCCTGGCAGACCTTTCAGATGATTATAAAGGACTTAGTGGGGGAAATTCTGGAATTTACCGCCTTTAAGAATCTCAACAGGAATAAGGCAACCAGTTAATTTGGGGACCAAGACTCACTTTTCAGGAGATATTTACAATGGGTGTCAAGGTGCACAAGGCCACTGAGGACCTGGCAGGTGTGTGCATATGGCTCTTCTCTTCTAGAAGCTCCTAGTGCGATGGGAGATGCAAGTTCATCTTCTCTGCAGATGCCACCTTAGGCTACTTCATTAGTTGGCTGTGGTTGGCCAGTCCCACCCCGGAGAGGGCAGCTTGGCTTCCCCTACTGTGTGTCAGGCCAGGCATGACCGGCAGAGAAGCATTCTGGTGAGATGGCTTCTGGCTGGAGGAGCCAGCTCCCTGTGTGCTGGGGACCAGCCCCCTGGCTTTGTGATTTTCTGGCTCAGAGGAAGTGCTGCGGTAAAGGGCATCAGAGGCCGGCCGAGCAGCAGGAGCGATGTTCCTTACGGAGATCTGTCACCTCCAGGGCCACGCTCCTGCTGAGCTCAAGCACATTCCAAGTAATTAAGTGGATTAGGTTCTCCAGCCGTGGTGAGCATCAGCTTGGACATCCTGGCCCGGAGCTCCTGGCAGGTCCCAGAGCTGGCTTGGCAGCCTGACCAGCATGGTGGGGTGCCCCTGCCCTGATGCCCACTCTGTGTGGTGGGGACTGATGAGAAAGTAAACTCAATATATTTGGAAGATCTCGTATATAGGGAGCTAATTACGTTCTTTTAAAATCTCGTTGCCACCAATCACAGCTTCCATGGTGCTGTGACTGTCATGGCAACTAAAAGCATATCTGAAAATAACATGTCACCTTCTTTTTTTCCATTTCTACTGTAATGACACAGGAAAAATGCTTTCGTTTTTAACTTAACATGTTAAGTAGAGATGAGTAAAAAAGTTTAGGTGTGTGTGCAGCTCCTGTGGATAAGCAGGTGCCATCATATATGTGAATTCATGAGTGTGTGTGTGTGTGGTGTATATCGGTGTGTGCAGCTGTGTACAGCTGTGTAGCTGTGGAATGAGTCCTCCTTTTGTATCTGTCTAGGATAGGGGCTGAGATCACACATAGGCTGTGAATGTTTGAAGACTGGTCTGTGAGCATGTGTGTATGTGTACAATACTGATGTGTGTGTATGTGTGTGTGTGTCTGTGAATTTGAAGACAAGTGCTATTACATGATGTGTTAACTCTATTATTTGGGAAGAAAAGACTTCTGCCTTCCTTTCCATAGGGTGTCCCTGCGGGAAGTTCCACCCAGTCACAGGAGAAAGAGCCCCTCTTTGGGGGAGGACCCACCTCCTTGTCATGATCCTCAGAAAGCCAGAGCTCTCACAGGTCAGGAGCACCCAGACACCGTCTGACCTGGCCCTGACCTGGAGTGTGGGGTTTCCAGTCACAGTGGGAGTGACTAAGCCAGGGTCACTGTGTGCGTCTGTCACTCCCTCGCTGCAATAACTGACACTTGTGTCTGGAGCTGGGCTTCCCTCATTTGACTGGGATGGGACTGACAGATTTACAACCCTGACTTACAACAGTAATGACATTTGCACACACCTCTGCAAGGCTTCATGCTTCCTAAGGTCATCTTCTTAGTCCCGCCTCCGGAGGTCCGGCTTCCTCAGGAGGACACTTCCCAGGCATGGCAGTGCACCTCTGGTCAGACTCAAGGGGATGGAAGCAGAGCAGGGAGCCTCTTCCCAGGATGTGATACGCAGCCTGAGCTCCAGGACGGGGCTGCTTGTGCAGGGAGAGGCCACTGCCCACTGCAGTGTGTGGCTGTCCCCTGGGGCCAGCTTTTTCGGACGAGGACTCCATCCATGATACCAAGGCTCATTCTTTTCTTTCTTTCTTTTTAAAAAAAAATATAATTTATTGATTTTTTATAGAAAGGAAGAGAGAAGGATAGAGAGTTAGAAACATCGATGAGAGAGAAACATCGATCAGCTGCCTCCTGCATACCCTCTACTGGGGATGTGCCTGCAACCAAGGTACATGCCCTTGACCGGAATCGAACCTGGGACCTTTCAGTCCGCAGGGAGATGCTCTATCCACTGAGCTGAACCGGTTTCTGCAAGGCTCATTCTTTTCATCACTAAAATGCTTCTGGTTACATTCTGTACTTTACATCTCTCGATGTAAAGTACAGAATGTAATATCCTATTCTTTGTTTGGGTTACTAATTTTTAAACACTCATCCAGAGGGCTAATATTGATCAAATGTGAGTTTAATAAGTGTTTATTGGGCACCAATTATTTTAAGGTTGTCCTTGCCGGGGCCCAGATGACACAGCATGCATGGGAATTACCCTCTGCCTGGAGCTTTTCTCAATGTAGTGTCTCGGGAAGAGTGTTCAGCAGCCAAAGCGGGCACAGGTGAGGGGTGCCTTAACGTGAGTGGGTTCATAAAGGACCAGTAGGGGTTCCCCAGATGTCGGGGAGAGATGGTGACATCCAAGGAATGCAGAGGCTCCCTCCGTGCGGGAAGCAAGTCTGGGCTGGAGTCAGAAAGGGACTCTGGTCCTGGGTAGACTTCGCTTTGTCTCAGGATGTTGGGATGACGCTGCCTTGGGATCCTGAGTAGCATCCCAGGCGTAGGAGCTTTGGCAAGAATCTGCTCCGTGAGACAGCCACCCCGGACTCTGCCCCCAGCTTTGTTTCTGTGGCCCTGCTGACGCCCGCGGCAGGGAAACAAATTATGTTGGCAAGGAGCTGGGCTTTTTTTTAAAAAAAAAATATATATTTTATTGATTTTGTACAGAGAGGAAGGAAGAGAGATAGAGAGTCAGAAACGTCGATGAGAGAGTCATTGATCAGCTGCCTCTTGCACACCCCCTACTGGGGATATGCCCGCAACCAAGGTACATGCCCTTGACCGGAATCGAACCCGGGACCCCTCAGTCCCCAAGCCGACGCTCTATCCATTGAGCCAAACCGGTCCCGACAGGAGCTGGGCTTTCTTGCGAGTTGCAATCACGTTGGTGGCTGTGGCTCTCTCCACATCGCTTCTACTACCGCCGTTCCCACGGGAGCGTGAACGGAAAAGTACCTGTAAATAGGAAGGTTGGCTCCAAAGGCACACTACTGTTTCATTGTGTAACACCCTCCGGTGACACGGAGGCCTCATTAATAACTAAACAACTGTCACGACTGTAATTATATTTCTGGCGTCCGGATTGTGTTGCTGCCATTGTCCTGTTTAAACACGGAAGGGAGGGTGTGAATTATTTAGGCAACTGACTGAGTAAAAATGATCAACCAGCACTGTGCAGGCAGTAAGTTTCTGTCAACTCCTTACAGAGCCTCAGTGTCACCGCTGACGTTCGCTTGATGTGCTCACAAAGCTCTCTGAGAACATCGCCCTGGACCCCCGATGCGGCTGCCCGAGCAACCTGGAGAGGGGAAGCCTGAGCATGAGGAAAAGTGGGGAAGAGGAGCCCCTGGAGGGGGAGAGGAGCCGCCGAGGAGCCAGGCCCCCGACTTCCCCACTTGGCAAGTCTTCTCCCCCCCAAACCCCCTGGAGAAATGAGCTTTCTTGCGTGTTTGCTCAGGATTGATTGTGTTCTGCCCGCAGGTAGGGGGTGGTGTGGGGCTGGGAGTGTTTGCTGCTGAGTGGGGGGGGCGGGGGGGAGAGAGGAGACCTACAGACAGGACATCTGAGAGGGGTCCAGAGGAGGCATATGTCTAAGCTGGGTACAGAGAGGAAGTCCTGAGCCTGACAGGTTCAAGGTGTGTGGTGGGTGAGGGGATGGGTTTGCAAGCTGACGTTCTTGGGTGCCGGTTGGGTTGGGGTGATGCCAGTGGTTAGAAAAGCAGCAACAGATATCATGTAGAGAGTGGGACTGTGTGTCAGCATCGGAGCGGGAGTGTCGCATAGGTAATTTCCACAAATCCTCATAGTAACCCCGCAAGGGTGTCACTAACACCGTTCTTACAGGAGAAAAGTAAGACAGACATTAATCAGCTCACCCCAGACCGCACAGGCAAAGGTAAACCTGTGGTTCCTGCCACGGATCTCTGAATCCCAAACCGAGGTTTCTAACCACTGGGAGACCCAGTCCCTCACTTACAGGTGAGAAGGTCAGTTCAGGGGGAGGGGGTCTCACGTTATCAAGCCACAGGCTTCCCGGGCTTTGACCCTGCTTTCTTTCTTCTCCCTGGAGACATTCATGGCTGTATAAACTCAAGAGGAATTTCAACTCAGGGTGGTTTTGTATAGAAGGAAATTTTGATCTGTGATGCTGGCATTGAGGAGTTGGTTTGTATTGAGTCCTATAAACGGTTATGTTTTGAATGGTCTCCTCAAGGCTGTTGGAATGGAATCGCCAGTCCTTTCTGCCACCAACTCCTCATGGTGGCCGAATGTGTTGATGGCGGGGGCCCTGAGTTTAAGTTTAGGCGTAGGAGGGAAAAAAAGAACTAGAGATGCTTCTGACTGTATCTCCTGATTTTTAGCCATTTCTCCCAGGAGGGGCTGGACCCAGCACAGGAGGCTCTACATGTCTGTGTAGAGCCGTGGTTTGGGAACTCGGAGGCCGGAGCTGGTGAGATCCCTGTGGGTGAGCCCTTCTCATCTATTCTGAGGAAAGGTCTGGAAGAGGGCGACATAAGCTGGAAAGGACACATGAGCTGCAGGGCAGGCTCAGCGTGAGGTCTGCTTAGCAAGGTTGGACAGGGACCAGAGCAACCTGGGCAGTGCCTCCTCAATCCAGCTCACCCTTTCCAAGAGAGGAGCCTGGTAGGAGGCATGGTCTCGTTCAAGGGTAAAATTCCCAGTTGGCCTTTCCTTAGGCTGGTATAAGTGACAGCATCCTGGGCAACTGTCCTGGGGAAGGGGGACATGTTAAGGAAAAGAGGTAAGGACTGGGGTGACAGATGTTTCTGCATGTCCCACACATGGCTGTAACAAATAACAAACATGGCAAATGCCACAGAGGGAAGGGACAGGTTTCTACGTTAGTGGAAATGAAGGTATCATACAGTAAACAGAGACCGTTTTTGCTCAATATACTCCCAAATTAAAAAAAAAAAAAAGAAGAAGTTTTTTTTATTTGATCCTGTGACTTTGGGATTTAGAATTTTGGAGCCAGAACTGTGATGGGCATGAATTAGGCAATTTAATTTCATCTATCTTTGGGAGTAGCATTAACCCAATTGGAATGAACCAAACCATCAGCTTCTCCTTGGGGCATTAACTCTTTTTGGACCCAAGGCTGAGGGTCTGTAGGGCCTCTGGCTTATTCCCCTCACACATTCAATCCTCCTCCCCCCATTACACTTTTGCATACTCCTTCCTTGGGAGCATACCCACAAAGATTTCTTGGTGCAATGGGCAGGGAGATACGGTAAAAAAGAGGGATGGAATGAGGCCATGAGAGAGAGAGCCCTGATGTTACGGCCTCAATGCCAAAGATTGGAGAGAAGGGGAAGGAAATACAGCTCATTTGGAGCATGGTCCCACATCAGTTTCCAGCAGTGAAGTTTCTCAGAGCAGCGGTCACCAACCTTTCGGACCTCACGGACCATCAGTGGTTCTCAGACCACCGGTTGGCCACCACTGCTCCAAAGGTTTCCTCAGAGTACATTGCCTCCTTGTCCTTCAGTCCCTTGGCTGGGACCTCCTTCAGCTAAAGCAGAGGCTGTGTACTGCGTCAAGCCTACAGAGCATCAGAGGCCCTTCAAATCTCAAGCCTTCTGGACAGTTACCTAGGTGGCTGTGCCTGGCATGGGCAGGGTGGGCAAAATTATAAAGTAAGGAGTCTCCTCAACATGTCCCATCTTCCCACCGGATCATTTTCACATTTCCTTGTACCATTTTGGTCGTAAGTAACAGAAGTCCATAGAGTTCTAAGTGAAAAGAGAGACCTATAAGAAAGACTTCGGGCAGGGGTCGGAAGAGGTGTCTTATAGAATGCAAGGCCTAAAGGATGGTTAACCCGTCGGCCTAGAGGGATTTTGAAAACCAAATAAAGCTGCTCCTCTCTACCTGTCCATACTTCTCTGGTTTCTCTGGCTGTATGAAAATTATTCTTGTCAAAAAGCTCCTACTTTGTCTTCCAGGCTTGGCTCAGAATCACTATTGTCTCAATTCCAAATTCCCCATGAACAGACTCATTGCTGCCTACTCCTGATCAAATCAATAGTATCTAGGATAGGACAGTCAGAGGTTATGAACATGGCTGCTTCCACTATAAATATGTGGATGGATAAGGGGAGAGGCAATGGCTAGAGTGGTGGGGCACTTCTTCACCACAGTTCCTGGAATATTGGTTTTGTATTCCATTCTGGAAGTTGGTTGACTATCTGATAAGGTGCTTACTGTTAATGCTTTAAATCGCAGCCTTTAAAAGAAGGTGGTCCCTTGCGAGACCCAGAGGATTGTCACTGGTGGAACAAGCACAGTGGGGTGGGTAACCACAGTGGGCCAGGGCCTCTCAGGGGAGTGTGGAGAGAGACCTTATACAGAGGGCGGGGACTAGAGAAGAAAGACCTACTCCCAGCCTTCCTCCCAGTTGTTCTACTCCTGCTTGTCAGCTCAGAGGATTGCAGAATCCCCCAGACTGTCTTTTCCTACGTCTTTGCCAAGGTGTGGTCATGTCTGCAGGAGATAACTCATAGATGGGGACCTCTTTCTTTTCTACTTCTTTTTCTTAAGAGTCTCCCAAGTGCACACAACAATGGAGCCCGATTTGTCTCGGGCCTGCCAAGGTGCCTTCTCAAACTGGTGACCTGAAAAGATGGTCTCTCCCTTTTGTCCAGACTATTGGATCTGGGGTGCTCTTTGGGTCAAGTATGGAGTTGATTTGTGGATGGTCAGTAGGCCCAGGAAGTCAGCTTGGAGAGTGTCGCCAGGTAATAGAGAGATGCCCAGGTGTCTTCATCAGATTACAATTAAATAAACAACCCTACTAGTATGGTGCTGCTCCAACCCAATCCAAAGGAAGCTTTTCTAATATGGGGCAAAATGGATGTGCACTATTGATATATGAGCTAAGAATAGCTCGTGTTCTAAACAAAGTGTTTTTTAGTATTTTGAAAAAAAAATCGTATAGACAAAGCAAAGAATTAGAATGCATGACTCATTGCTGATTCTGAAAGCAATAGAATTTCAAAGGGAATTATTCTCTTCCTATTTCTCCCTCCCACCCCTGTTCTGAATAGCTTATAAAAAGAGTCTCTACATAAACAGGACCCACAAACTTCTCCATGATTTAAGGTTCAGCACAGTGAGAGGCAGCAGGAACTCAACCTTTATTGCTTCATCAATAAGCTGGAATCCCCACTAGACTGGAATCATTTATCAGAGTCCTTCATGGCTTGTTCATCCTCATTTCTCCTCCACTTGTCTTCCATTCTTTGGATCCATTGTGGCTACTGCTCCTCCCTTCCCCTGGCTCTGCTAGACCTCAGCAGACTCAACTCATTAGCCTTAACAAGGATGTTTCATCAATAAGCATTATCTCTATGGGCTATGGCTTAGGGGAGAGTGCAAACTGTATGGTTATTGTAGCAGGATGCAGGATGTGGGCATCTCCATCAACTCACTGGGTAGTCTTGAGCTCATTTGTGTGTTGAATAGAACGGTTTGGCCTTATCAGTGGTGTTTAGTTGTGTGTTTCTTAAATTTTGTTTGTTTTTTTGCTCACAAGCAAAAAATAAGTCTTATGGGGAATCCAATAATTAAAACAGAAACGTATTCTGGTTGGAGAAAGGTGTGGTGTGTGTGTGTGTGTGTGTGTGTGTGTGTGTGTGTGTGTGTGAGATAGAGAGAGAGAGAGAGAGAGAGAGAGAGAGGATGGGAGGTCCTCCAGGATCCCTGAGAAGAACAGCAAGATGTTTCACTTGAAGGAACTATTAGTCGACCTTCATAGCATGATTCCTTAAGAAATGTGAAAGTCTTATCTCTGACCTCTCCTTGCTATCTCCTTTCATTTCCAATCTCATGCTCCTTGAATACTTACCAGCTTGCTCAGTCTCATATCTGCCTCAAGTCTTGATATCCTATGGGGAAGCTGAGAGGATCATGTGGATGACCAAGCAACATTTTCATCTCATGTTGCCTCAGCTTTAACTCTGTGACTTCCTTTCCCCTTGACTTCCACTCCCATGGCTTCCACTTTACTCCTATTACTCTCTGGAGTAACCCACCTCTAGTACTAGATTAGTACTCACTGTAGAGTTCAATTGTTAAGAAATTCATGCACAGGGTGTGCGTAGGAGGCCGCCATTGCTGCTTTGAACACCTCTGAGAGCTCACACTGCAATACTGCTCTCTGTTTGACAACCTTCTCTATAGCTGTTTACCATTGCTAGTCCTATTTTGGGATGAGTAGCATACTGAGAGCAAATCCTATATGAATATGGGACACGGATAGTTGACCCTACGTACTCATAGCCTTCAACTCCAATAGGTCTTCAGTGTTGACTCAGTAGTTCTTCTAGTGGTCAGGTTCCTCCCCATTCTCTACCATGACTGTTTCAACCCCTACCCA